ATGGCATTAATACCGTAGGCCTCATGGCTCACAAGATTGAGTCATTGACTATTGACACCTACGACCTTGAATGTGACTTACAGTGTAGGTATTTATAGCGATACTTTTATCTTGATAATGTCCTAAATACGTTATAAAAAGCATAACTGTGTTTTGTTACAGAGAGTAAACATGTACAGCAGATATTGATTTATTAGGCCCCTTATAGACACAGACAGATCTATAGGAGAGCTGTTCCTTATAGGGCTTCCAGTGTTTACTTTGAACATTCGGTAAAGTACTTCACCACAAAACTGAAATTTGGCTATAAAGATTATTAGCTTATACTTAAATCAAATATAAATATCAGATATGTTTGCATATAAACATTCATTAATTTGTTTACATGTAGAGTATAACCTGTCTAAATCAGTCTGCACAAAAAACTTTTGTAGCCACAAGCCGCCAGGCCAGGAAGAATATAGTATAATCTGGCCATGGCCTGAACTTGACTGTCGAAAAATTCATTAACAACAGCACAGATGGATTGTAAATATGTTTAATTTTATTTCAAGTCAGTCCCTGATGCCATTCTAACACCCCCAAAAGTTGTGGACTTATGGGCTAACACCTACTGTATTTATAAAATATTCATATCAGAAGTAATGTCACTGATATGTCATTGTATTTGTGTGCTGATTAGATAGACGGTCACCTGTTGACTGTTGGTCACTTGATGTCAGGGCAGTCAGAGGATCAGCCAATTTCTACTACGCTATGGAAAATATCTGAACAAGTGATTCCAGTTTGTAAAGAGAATGTTTATAGGGAGATTTTTTGAATACTTGTATATACCACATTGGTATTTAACTTGACAAACAGCTTTAAGGACAAAATCAGTATCACCAATAATGTACGAAACCTCAGACTTGTAATCCAAGGCCCGTATTCATGAAGCCGTTCTTATGCTCAAACCCAGATTCTGTGCTCAAGCCCAATTTCTTGTGAAGTGATGGATTTATAAAACTAATCATATTTCATCAATGATATGTAAGGAATTTGGAAAGACATTGAGCTGAATACTGTTTTCAATGTTAACATTGAATTTTTGACCATGTAACATATTGATTTGATCGAGTTACAGAAATCATGCTTGAGTATGAGAATGTTTTCATGAATCAGGCCTAGGTGTTATACATTTATGTAAGCTAGGTGTACTGGGGTTCCATGCAAGGACACTGAAGTAAGAACTCAATATAATACAAAGAGCTAAAACCGCTTCTACATTCTGCACTTCGATAGCAGTAGTAAAGGTGTTTTCTAGAGAAATGTGAAGAACAGAAATGAATCATGTTTTTTTCTGTAACCTATAGATTCTCTCTCAGTTACATGGTACCTCCACTGAATGTTTCATCTATGTGCACCCCTGATAATCTATAACGTCTCCATATCAGGCGTTCTACGACTCGTTAATAACATGATTGATTTTCTGTGTAACTGATTATACTGACCTATATATCTCTTTGGTCAGGATTTACTTCTGTAGATTAATTTCTACAAATGCATAATTTTATTATCTTTCCTAATCAATTAAATAGATTATTTATACTTAACCAATAACAGTAAACAGGAGTCCTCTGATTGTTTACAAGGTTAATTTAGCTACCAAACAGGATGTTAACACAATTACAGAGCTGTAACTGTGCCCATCTCCTGATTAATTCAGACAGACCTCTCCCCAAGCTTTCCACCTAGTGTATTGCCACCACATAATGCACACACCAACAATCATAACATAAATACCTAACAACATTATCTTTCTGCTCCAGCTTATTATAACTACACTAATTCTTTTTCTTCCGAAATTTTCCATTCCCACCATTTCAGCTATGGACCAAATGGTACTTTGTATATGTACATCTGTATGTCCATTTAGTATGGTTTTCATAAATTATATTTCCCGCATTTAATTAAGCATCTTGCAGTTCAATGAAGCCCACTAGCGCTTCATGTTGGATTTGCCTTTGTCCAGTTGGAATTCATATTGCCTATGAATGCCAACTGAAAGCAGATCAATACATGTATTTACCATTTTTTAAATCTGTTCATCTCATAGAAAATTCAATTACAATTATTATTATTAAGCATTTAGTTCAAATAATGTATAATCGTGTATGATTTTTCAATGAATAGGAAAGCCATTGCCAAGGGAGGGTCTGTGTTATTCAATCTAACAACTTGACGTCATAATAATGATGACGTCAACAATCGGTCCATGGCATTCATAGCCTATAAGAATGCCAACTGAATTTGGTAGGGTTATAAAGTGGAAATGCCATACGATGGTAAATATCAGGTTTTGAATAGACTAACACTTATAAGCTAAACATTGTAATCCAGGACCACCTCTCTAATCAGAACACCATCAATCCCACAGATACTTTATGTGGAGGAGACTAGAGTTTGGATTATCAGTCAATTACAGAAATATTCAATCAATGGGGTGTGGGGAATAAATTTTGGAACAGCATTGCATGTGTTATGGAAGCACATGTGTGATCTCTTGTCCAATAAATCATGATTGTCGACCATGATAAACATTGTTACATCACCAACATGCAATGGTAGAGTTTAAAGTAGTTTCTTCAAACTAGTTAAAGGCTTCAGTTTATTTAATTGTTTCATGATTTTAAATACATGTATGTAGTGTTACTTAACTAGAAATTGTCAGTTTTTTTGAATTTATATGTTCACATCACCACAAATATAACACAGCTGCATTTGTTTGTTCTTTCAGATTATGCATCCTCGTAACAAGCTAAGATGGTGATCATACGAAAATGGTGTCAACAGATGATGGGGTCACTATGTAAGACCAATTCTAAGTGCTATATTAGTGAAATATCATAAGTTTACCTGAAAAATAGTATGTAGTTTGACACTCAACCTAGTCACATTATTCTGACAATGTGCTAGACAGAGGTGCCTCGGATGGCACCAACCTAAAGAAAGGATAGATGTGAGAGAGAAGAAAAGATAAAGCAACACCAACAAGCTAACTATGAACCCTCAAATGAGGGGTTTTCAACCAGTAACAAGAACAACCCTAAATGTAAATTATGTGAATATATGATGTGTACATAATACACAGTGTATGGACAGTGGAGCTGGGGATCTATGCCACACCCCTGTGGTTATTATATTACCTAATACAAGTACTATATGAGGGTAGAGAATCTTGAAAATCCATAAAATATATTCCCAAATCCAAAACCCATGGGGAACACTGGTAACCAACCAAAGCAAAGCTGAATTAGATCTATTCTCCTTTTTATGGATAACTGACGAGTTCATTGATTGTTACATGTATTAAACAACATTTGTTACACTTATTAAGTTCTCTCTTTTGACACAACAAATAAATTACAAGAGACAGGAATGATGTTTAGCGATACAATACTAATCAGTTCAGCATTACAACAGAGATAGCGTTTCTTACAAACTAACGCCCAAGTACCCTACTCACTGATGGTCACATGTGATAAATGGGAACAAACTAACTCAATGGATAGAAACCATGATCATCACTTGACTGGTATCCTCCCTATATATACATGCTTGATTATCCTTTTTCTTTGAATTATACATTTACATCTCACAAAATACAGTTCTGCTGAGATAAGATACTGTAAATTTTGTAAGAGACATTCCTTAGATGTATAATGGAACAGAATTCGTACATAACACTATAAGACACTAATATAATCAGCTTATATGCAGATGTTGATGCCAAAAATATTGAATTGATGTTCAGAAATGTACCAAAGGTCAGTCGATTCTAGTTTCTCTAGATGTGCCACTGCCACCTAACGAAGTTTGTATATCATGCTCAAAATACACAGATGATGTGGACCTGTAACCCGTAACTCACATGATCAGACTAATTATAGCGCAACTACTGTCGACCAGTTCTGTAGTAGCCTGAAAAACTAACTTTTACCCCACTCTTCCTCCGCGAATGTGATATTTAATTTATGAATTTTATCCAGAACTTAACAGATACAGACAGTCTACCTTGTAAAGAGGGAGGGTTGACAGATACAGACAGTCTACCTTGTAAAGAGGGATGGTTGACAGATACAGACAGTCTACCTTGTAAAGAGGGAGGGTTGACCGATACAGACAGTCTACCTTGTAAAGAGGGAGGGTTGACAGATACAGACAGTCTACCTTGTATAGAGGGATGGTTGACACAGATACAGACAGTCTACCTTGTAAAGAGGGATGGTTGACAGATACAGACAGTCTACCTTGTAAAGAGGGATGGTTGACCGATACAGACAGTCTACCTTGTAAAGAGGGATGGTTGACACAGATACAGAAGTCTACCTTGTAAAGAGGGAGGGTTGACAGCTATGCACTCAATTGTGTCACCACTACAGTATAATGACTAATTGAACTTGAATGTATTTTTTTTTTATTCTTTTCAAATAGTAAATATTCGCTTATATGAACGGCTAGAGGATTTATTTCTCCATAGATATCTGCCTCGAATAAAAAAGAGACAAAATATACACATAATATTCTGATATTATATATAGTAGACCACTCTGACATCCCCACCCTTTAATAAGGCAGATACTCGTGATTTCCCTGTAGATTTATATTTAAGGCTTATATAAAGATTTAGATATCCAAGATAGGGCCGAAGAAAACTATTAGAGACAAAACAAGAATAAGGTCATAATCTGATTACTATCTGTTTGTGATATTACTAAAAACAAAGAAAACACATGCAATGAAGTTGGTAAAAAAACCGTAATAACAACGTTTAAAAATGTCATCTATATTACAGTAAAGTTAATACAGTAATAATCTGAGACAGAAGGAAATAGATTCGTCATTATGTATGGAACAAGATATTCAGTATGACAAATATGAAATGTCCAGCAGACAAAGGGGGACTAATAACTACGATGAGTTCAATGACAGAAGCCGAAACTATTTTATGAGTCACAAACCTTCAGCTGTCACTACCAGGGAGAACGGGTCGTTTTGCCAAATGTAATCGACGACCAGAGGACTAACAAACGCCAGGTACGAATCCAACAGTTCCTCCAAATATTTTGCAACTTCTGACTTATTCAGTGAGTCTGGTAAAGTCGGGAAAAGGAAGTATTCCACAACATCCTCGGCTAAGTGTTTTCGTTTCTCAGCCATGCTTCTTCGGAAATGAAGATAAGGGTCATGACCTTATATTTCAACCAATTGACGCCGTCGACATAAGTTTAGCCGCTGCTGTCATATGACCCGGAAGTGTAGCAGAAGAACTTTGGAATAGCTGCTTTGGAAGGAAAACCCGTGGAAAATGCTAAAACCTAAAGCGCTCACGCAAGTTCTCAGTCAGGCGAATTCAGGAGGAGTACAGAGCACGCTGTAACTATCTTTTAACATTTCTGTATTTTGATGATACTGACATCACCAGTATCGCCGATATCACACCCACAGGACCCAAGAAATGTTCTGTACAGTAGCACAGGGAGGCTCGCACAGGGACATGTCACATGTCATGACCATATAACCACGGAATTATACATTCGCTCACTTATATATACCATATACTGTGATGCACATTTTTTATCTGTTACAATGAAATCTAGTCATTTGCATGGAAAGCTAACTAGTGGCTCAACCACTCCCAACTGAACAATCTGTCTAAACATAGAATAGATCTAGTATCTACAAAGAAGTGAATAGTGAAATACATGACGTGATTCTCTGCTTCCTTTGACAGATTGTTTACAGTAAACTAATATTTCAATTAAAAAACTTATAGTATACCATATACTTAGAATAATTATAATATGCAACAGCTGTATAAACATTCATTTATTTATTTTCAGTAAATATTCCCTACTTGGGGATATCACAGACTTGGATAACTAATTCCGTGGGGATATATACCATTTATTATGTGCATTATAAAAACCCTCATTACATGTCCTTGTGAACATATAAATTTAAATCATTTCAGCATACACAATATCCATTAAGTATAAAAGTGTACATGTACTATGACTGATAAAATGTATAAAATTAGATTTGGATATCTTCAATATTAAATTTTAAATGACATTCATCCTCCAACCAGTGATTAATTCTTGGTTTGACGAATTAAAAAAAAATCAAAGTAAATAAATGGCATGTATATGCAAAATGACAATATTTATCCCAACATGCCTGATAGCAATATGGTAAATGTTCTACAGTTTTGTCAATGTTCTACAGTTTTGTCAGAGTTATTCCCCTTCGTGCAATACTGACTGAACAGAATCACTCCCTAATGTTCCATGTCCCTCTGCACCCTAGTTCTTTGCACATATATACAGTAACCTTCCCTTAATTTTGTTTTGGATATAACTGTAGGCTATAGCACAGTTGGGCGAGGACACTTCTGTTGACCAGGTAGCACAGTCAGTCAGAGTAATAGTAACCTGTAGTCCAGGGTTGAAACCCCATGCCAGTCTCTTCCTCCTGACTTCTTCCCCAATCAGAACACTGTTCTCTCTGATCTGATTGTTTGGTTTATTTCATCTCTATACATTTTCTTTTTAGTCCTGCAAGGTATGGTTTTCTTTTCAGAAATAATTGATCAAAGCTATATTCATGTCAACAAAATTGGTTTGCACTGCAATATTATTGCTTTTGGCAGTGGCATTAAGCTGACTTTTATGTGTTAATATAAGGCCAAAGGACTTGCTACATTTCCTTGTGAAGATCATGTGGAAAATATAGCGTACAGTACTAGTAATGTTTTAAAAATATATTTTTCTAGCCTTCTCAACAATGAAGGAGCCTTGCTAGCCTACTCTGGGTACGGAGACAAGGATGCATCCGTCACAGCAGCTATAGCCTGCAATATCTGGACGTCCTATCAGAAAAGTGGAGCACTTGCTTTCAATGAAGATAAATTAGAGTTTGTTTTATTGGGATGTGAGGTAAGATACAAAAATTATAGACAGTTCTAATGTTTTTGAGATATACTTGTTTTCAGGGGGGACTCGCTGAGAACAGTTTGCATACAATATGACATTTACGATATTTATGAAATTTTGTTGCATATTATATAAATTCAATTTGAGTACCTGTAAGTAACAAAATGCTTGTCGACAAATTAGTGGAATTGAAAATGGGATACTTTTATCGAAGAGCCTTGCAAAGTAATTGAAACAGGTTAATATTAATTATGTCTCCCCTTCAAATGAAACATTATAAGTCTGCATGTACTTTCATCACCCAAAAAGTGTATAGTTCACTGTAAACAGGTCACTGTGACGTTCACCTTAAGGTCAAACAATTGCAAAATTTCAAAAGTAATCTTGTTTGGGCTGGAACTTTCAAATCATTAAGAATATCTTCCTGAAATTTTGAACGGACCTGCGTCACTTACCCGGGTACTGAAGGTGTGCACTACAACTGTCATCTTCACCTTGACCTTCAACATCAAATTCAAATAAGTGTAAACTTTTCCATGCTATAACTTTTTAAATGTTCATAGATATCTGTATGAAACCTGAAGTATACCTGCATTAGCCAAAGATTGGGGGCACCGTGAAGTTAGTACCGGATTCGTTTTTTCGAACTCATACACCTAAACACTGCCCCATTTGGCCTTGGTGTGTTATAATCGTTAACTGGATATCCAAAAGCACTGCGGTACCTTATTTGCTATTTGAATAACGAAAAACAAAAAATAATTTTTGAATAACGAATAACGGGAAAACTCGTTATTCGTTTTTCGTTTTTCGTTTTTCGAATAACGAAAAACGAATCCGGTGCTAACTTCCTGTGGCTAAGATGGCATGCAGTACTGGGTACATTCTTATTAGGCCAGGATGAGATTAGCCTCATGGCTACAATTTAAACAAGAGCAAACAAGTGAGCTTTATTCTTTTCTATGCAAAATATGCATATTGGCTGATAAGGGAGACATGTTTTGTTCATACAAACAAATCTGTAGTTGTTTGGATTATTTTTGCATGTTACTTAAGGACATAATTAATTTCATGTATTGATGTAGTGTACTACATGGTTTGTTGATTTTGTAGGAAGGGAAAGTGGCAATAACCAGGGTGGCAAACCTGCTGCTGTGCATGTGTTCAAAGGAAATTGTGGACTTTGGACTGTTAAAAGCCAAGGTAGGATTTTCTCCCGATTATAATCAAGTGTCTTGTGTAGGAGTCAAACCCAGAACTGTTTCTAGATTACTAGTTATTAGCTCTCACTAGTTGCTTTACCAATACCAATTGAGCTAGTGGGAAAAGTCCTGCTCTACCCCTGCAAGTGATCAGATGTTCACCTGTGATATTAGGAAAAATTCTTTACTACTATAATTGTAAATTCTATTTTGGCCATGATTTATAAAGGGCTAAATTTTGAACATCATAGATGGGTGTTTCATGACTGGACAATGAATGGGTCACATACATACCACTCCCATGTCTGTACCCTACTGAGAAGGTCAGAGGAAGAGTCAAAGGGTAAATAATTCTAATGAATGAATGCATTAGATGGAGGGATATTGATGCTAATTCAGTTTTATACACAGGTAGCAGTATATAGTATCGCGTTAAGATATTTTGACATAAATTTGAGATATCAAGAAAGTGAAAATGATTTGATATACTGGATGAAGGAGGCACAATGTTGATGTCATGTCATTTCTTGCGTTACAGATGGAAGCTCTAGCGACATACCTAGACGAACCCCTTTCTCAAGTGGCATCCTCCTGACATCCCTCACACTGAACTCTTGGGATCACCAACCAGCTATCTGTCTATTCACTGTACCGGCATTTGGCCAGGAGTCTGGAAATATTGTCTTTAAAAGATTCCGACACATTTCATAGTGCCAGTATCCAAGTGACATTCTTCTGTATTTCTTAGCATATATTGTTGTACAATAATGATATCTTCACTTAATATTGATTTTTTTTTTATGCAAGAAATATCATTGAGAATGTCATGTGCCAATGGAAGTCAGGTACCTGTGATAATGACTGAAAGTAAATGTCTTAAAATACTTTTGAAGGCATATCTGCCCTGTAATTTATTTCCATATTTTATCTCCCTTTTGAAGTTTAGCCTGCCCTAGTAGTTATCAAAACACACTTTATCTTTCAATAATCATCACGTTCATATCATCATTTTTAAAAAGCATTTAACAGGTTTCATAACCTGACCTGTTGGAAAGAAGTGCATATGGGAGTTATATATGGAATAATAAAAACACAGATATTGACATTGATGCTTGGGTATTAGATATACTGTTCAAATTGAACTATGTGTATATAGTATGTATGTTGCTATTGCTTTTCAAAAGAATTGAAATAAAACAAGAAAAAAGCTACACAGTCCATTGGTGATTCTTTATTTTGAGAATGTTATAGCACAAACCATTTTTTTATTGTCAGAGAAACCCTGAAATAAATTCAGTATTCAAATAAACATGTAACATCAATGGCTTCTGGAAGACATTTCAATTGATTTTTTTTGCATTCAGTTTGCTAGGATTGTACTTATCCACCCAGAACATAATAAATCATTCCTGAAGACTTCTTTCTGTACGGTTAATTAATGTACATGTATACATGATTATTTACACTACAACTCCTAGGACCAGTAACTCTGTCCTTACCTACACCTACGCTCCTCGGACCACCAAAACTCCTGTAGGACCAGTAACTATGTATTGTTACTTACACCTAAACTCCTGTAGGACCAGTAACTATGTATTGTTACTTACACCTAAACACCTGTAGGACCAGTAACTATGTATTTTTACTTACACCTTAACACCTGTAGGACCAGTAACTATGTATTGTTACTTACACCTAAACACCTGTAGGACCAGTAACTATGTATTTTTACTTACACCTTAACACCTGTAGGACCAGTAACTATGTATCCTTACTTACACCTTAACTCCTGTAGGACCAGTAACTATATATCCTTACTTACGCCTTAACTCCTGTAGGACCAGTAACTATATATCCTTACTTAAGGACCAGTAACTCTGTCCGTACCTACACCTTAACTCCTAGGACCAGTAACTGTGTCCTTACCTACACCTAAGCTCCTAGGACCACCAAAACTCCTGTAGGACCAGCAGGCACGTAGCTGCCATGTAAGAAAATAAGCAGTTTGCATGCACATCAAAAATTCAAATATACTATTATATTTGTATTTATTTATTTATTTTGTAGTCCGGAATAGTGATTAAATGATGTGTGGTTCAATGGAAAAATATAATATAATAAAGATGGGGGAAAAAGCTCTCAAGTTCAAATTCCATACACGGTAAATTTGGTTAACATGTCATTAATAAGCATAAGTTACGTAACAAGCGATTGTAATGAAATACAACTTAGTCAACCGAGGCGGGTTGTTTTTCCGGAATGGATGTATTTTTGTGTTATTTTTTTTTGCTAATTAAAGGTAATCCGAATAGCAATTGTAGATTGATTTGTTACTAGCATTATTGTTATAGGTTTTAGGGCGGATATATGCGCGTATTATAGGATCCATCTGAGTTTTACATTCACTTCGCCTGCAAATGTAATATGAAAAAGGCAAAGCCTCAAAAGTCAGGAAAAAAACATGTAGCTTTTGCTAATCTGTGACATAAGGAGGCGAGCTAAAATGAAAAAAATTGTGACCAAATTCATAAATTTCATATGAAATGGAAACGACTGTAAGCCTATATAGGCCTATTGGGAATTTAACATCATAGATAGTTAGATACATTGGTCCCTGTCATAAACTGATAAAGCATATTTTTAAGAGTAGTCCTAGGCCTATCTTCAGTAGGGCTACTGGATATATGTACATGTATGTATCTAAATATCGATATAGGAGCTACCCTCATCTATATTCTGAGAAATGTTGATGATATAAAAGGGTTAGGGGGACACAACAGCAAAAAATCTGAATAAATTCATCTGTTCATATTGGCTCAGACATTTTTGAAATATCTAGTTAATTTATATTCATCAGGAAAGAGATTTGACACAACGGATATTTTGGGGCATTCCGACAATTGATAGTTTTGTCGGAGAAAAAAAAGAGAGCTGTCTTTCGCATTTGAAATAAATTTTAATTTTTGTGATGCTTTCCAATAATAAAATGAATGAATCAACCAAAAAATGTTGTCTGTAAAATAAATTAAATCACTCAAATATGTATTTCAAAAGCCACCAGATGGCACGACAGAGTTTCTAGACCAAAACTCCTGTAGGGCCAGTAACTATGTATTGTTACTTACACCTAAACTCCTGTAGGACCAGTAACTATGTATTGTTACTTACACCTAAACTCCTATAGGACCAGTAACTCTTTGTGTCCTTACCTACACTTCAACCCCTGTAGGACCAGTAACTATATATCCTTACTTACACCTAAACTCCTATAGGAACAGTAACTCTTTGTGTCCTTACCTACACTTCAACCCCTGTAGGACCATTAACTATATATCCTTACTTACACCTAAACTCCTATAGGACCAGTGACTCTTTGTGTCCTTACCTACACTTCAACCCCTGTAGGACCATTAACTATATATCCTTACTTACACCTAAACCCCTGTAAGACCAGTAACTATGTATCCTTCCTTACACCTAAACCCCTGTAGGACCAGTAACTGTGTATTGTTGCTTACACCTAAACTCCTATAGGACCAGCAACTCTTTGTGTCCTTACCTACACTTAAACCCCTGTAGGACCAGTAACTATGTATTGTTGCTTACACCTAAAATCCTATAGGACCAGTAACTATATATCCTTACTAACACCTAAACTCCTGTAGGACCAGTAACTATGTATCCTTACTTACACCTAAACTCCTATAGGACCAGTAACTATGTATCCTTACTTACACCTAAACTCCTATAGGACCAGTAACTATGTATTGTTACTTACACCGAAACTCCTGTAGGACCAGTAACTATGAATCCTTACTTACACTTAAACTCCTGAAGGACCAGTAACTATGTATTGTTACTTACACCTTAACTCCTGTAGGACCAGTAACTATATATCCTTACTTACACCCAAACTCTTGTAGGACCAGTAACTATGTATTGTTGCTTTCTTAATTCACATCTCCTTAAGTAAGTGTTATGTATACCAGGTGCTTTAGTATACAAATCAGTGCAGTACTCTAGCAGTTGTGTGAACAATGTTGTGTCTATAGATAGAGAAAATATATACCTGATTTCAGTATAACAACTCCTTCCCACCAATTTTGTTGTACAGGGTATAATTATTGGCCAGTAAATCTTTTTGTTTTGTTGGATGAACCTGATGTGGAAAAAAAATCACCAATGGCTTCAAACACGCAACAGAAAAAAACTTGTAGCATCATGATCAAAGTCACAATACACTTAAAATACTTTGAGGCAAGATATGGACATCAGCTCCACATTTAAGTATTACAAAAACGTGTTGATTTGAAGTGATATGCTCACTTTGATGTTTTACAAACGGAATGTAACAATTTAATTTCCTTTGTATAAATGTCGTCGGAGGAGCCTGGGGGTGTTTCCAGAATCATTGGCATATTGTTGAACCTTGGATCACACATGACACGTCGAAAGCCTTCAATCCCTATGTGACCACGTCCAATGTTCTCGTGTCGGTCAAGGTGACATCCCAAAGCACCTGTTAATAGAAATGTATAACATCAAGCTTAAGACATGAACTACATTGATAATACCAACTGTAGGTGGTAGAATATGTAACAAGTGGAATATTTGCCTTTTGTGGCAATGATAATGATTAACATGCACAAAAGAACAAAAACAATACAGGAACAACCTTTTCCTCCCCTTTTCAGTAATTGAATAGATTGTGATTATATGTTTTACTACACCTTAACTTGTCCTATCAGCAATAGTCAGTTTTTTCAGATTTTTATTTTGAAGTCCTTGTAACTTTATTAATGAAATATTATATCATATTAGCTCTGACGATTGATTTCCAACCATATCGGTTATTTATTTCTTGAAAACACTTTTTTCAATGCAACATACACTTCTAACACATAATCCAAATACCTTTGGAGTCATTAAGGTGCAGAGCCTTCAGATATTGAAAACCAACAACTGTTTCAAACTCTTCCATCATCTTTTCAAACCCAGACTGACTCGATAGATCATGGCCTGTAAAGACAAGTAAATGAGGTTTTAATAACCAATGTAAAGTCTGGAGGCCTAAGCTGTACTTCATTTATAGGACATGAAGGATACATATATAAAATGTTGTACTTAAGTGTCATTTTTATGTCAACCGTGTCACCTTTCTTGCCATGTGTTAAAGGAGGCCAGGTTTGCTACTGCAGTGTAAATGACAGCCAGTGGCAACAATAGAGGAATCAATAAAGTACATTTCCTTCACAAACATGGTGTTTTATTTTATGAATATTAACATGTAATGACATTAACATGTAATGACCCGCATTGGTGGTGTAATGACATGCAGTTTGATTGGTCATTATCTGCAATGGGATTTTGAAAATAGGTCTGATGATGTAAGCTTTCCCTGTAGGATAGAATTATCCCTTTTCAATTTCTGTGATTATGGCATCCCCATCAGCATACTGAAATGCAATACTATGTTGTTCCATTTTAAATGATCATATACCTGCAGCAAAGGCATGACATGTGTCCAGACACACTCCGATCCTAGATTTGTCCTTCACCTTGTCAATGATGGCTTTCAATTCCGGGAATTTTCCTCCAACTGTGTTCCCTTGACAACTCATATTTTCTATTACTGAAAACGAAATGGAACATATTCTCCCTATCAGAACAGTATAGCCTCATGCATTTCATCTAATATATTGTAGACATGTCTAAAGTATAGCTTTATTCACCATAACATCAAATAGTATATACAAGTACAGTTTAGCTTTGAATATCTAAATGTGAAACATGTTTCAAAACCTTAAAACAACTCCTTCTCAAGAACTCTAAGTCCTTTTGCCATTACACTATCATTAAATGTACATGAATACAATAACATATAATTTAAAAGAAATAAGATTTTGATGGTGAAGATTTCAGCTTAATTTTTGTTTTCACTTAAGTTCCCTAAATTACCTGACATTTATAGGCGTACATTTAACCTATACATCCATATGTTCACTCTGATTACAAGTTGAGGGAAACAGTATTTAATGTCCTCAGCAATATGTAAGACCAGATTACTTTACAAAATTAATGAGCCAACAAAAAAGGAGAATTATTGAAAAAAAACTTGCATGGGATTGTGGAAAAAACAATATTCGTAATGTGAAGAGTAAGTATACATTTAATATACGTACCTGTTATAACAAATTTAGTCTTAGTGTGAGCCATGTTGATACTCTCAGCAATCAGGGCCAGTGATTTGTCAGTGGTAATGTCGCCACAGCTTGACCCTGTACCAAGTACATAGAAATGTCTCTCAAGATAATCTACACCATTTGAAGCTACTCGCCTGGTTTAGCGAAATCAAATATTTTAATGAACATTAAAAGTCTTTGAATTATTTCTGTATTCAAACAATTATTTTTGCTAAACTAGTTTTTTGCTTATTGCTGTATTAAATCTCTCTATTTACATAAAATTTCTATGCAGTTATGCAGTAACTTGAAACATACTTAATTATGGTAAGAGTATTACAGGTAATTAGTTGAAAACATGATCAGCTGCTCCTTATTAAAGCAATGGAAGGAAGCATACAGATACATACCTGGGTGGAAATTGTACAGCGTCAGTCCAAGCTTTTCACATCTCTGAAGCTCATCAACAAGTGTATCCCTACTTTTCTGGAGGGTCTCTGGGTTAGAGGAACCACAGTTCATCAGGTAAGAGCCGTGAGGGAGGATGTCACCTGGGGAGAATCCTGCAGCCTGATCAACACACCAAAGTATTATTAAAATAAGTCACCTCCCCTTCCCCACTTAGACTTCAGCATACAATGTATATACCTCTTAGCAATTCCAGCCTATTGGTTTTACAATTTTAAGTTTACTTTATAGCAGCTAACCTGATAAGCATCTTTAAATTTCTCTGCATCTTTATCAAGCAATGGCTTGGCATTCCACTGTCGCTGCGATTTAAGAAACAGCCCAAAAGCTTTTGCTCCATAGAAAACAGCAGTATCCACAGCCTTGTACAAACCACCTGTATAAGTGTAGGAAATGTTAATATTTTTACCACTTTTTAAATATTTTTTTTAGCAAGGAAAGAGTTCATTTCAATAATAACATACCAGGCAAACATCATGACCTTAGCTGTAATTTCTTTCGCACTATATTAACTGAATAACATCCATGGGCAGATACATTTTTTTTTCATTTATCATATATGAAACATATCCCATCAACTTATTTATATTCATCACTTCTGTAGGCACGGATAGATTAGAAACAGTTGCAGAAACCTGAGTACCCACAGAAAACCTACATGGTCGGGCAGGGGACACCATACCATGGCCATTTCATGTCCAATCAGGGAATCAAACCCTGATAAAATGCCAGTGCACTTTCCACTGTGCCACACAACTACACAAGGGTGCAGAATACTGGGGCCTGTTTGTTTATGCAGAACGAATGGTATGTCCGTTTTTAAATGTAACATTTTTGGGTACAAATCCTGGTGGACCTGCAAATGTTTCTGCAGGCCTTGCTCTAGGCTTTGTCAAGGCTCACCTGAAAGTAGCATCAGATTACTGGGTCCGACCTTTTTTCATAAAAGAACAAGTCTGGTCCAACCTTTTTAACCGTTTATACCGCAATAAACAAAAATATTGGAACTCTCTTAGTTTTAGTTTTCTTTTTTTAATTTTTACATAAAATGGCCCATATTATTTCTGATATATTGACTAAAAATTGCTGAAAATGGCCCTCTGAGCTACCAGGATTTTCCCTGTATATGTTAAGACAAGGGTTATCAAGAGAGGTCCAAACAGTCATACTTGTAATTTTGCAGGCCACTATATGGTTTAAAGAGAAAAAACTAAGAGCTACCTAGCTATACTTACCTGCAATAGAGACATGTGGTCCTACACGTTTTGCGCAATTGTGTGATGCCTGGTTAAATTCAGAATGGCCTTTACTCTTCACAGTTGATTTCACCTCTTGCTTTAATCCCTTCCCCGTCTTTTGTCTACCTGGTTTCTTGTCATCTTTTTTTGTATGTTCTTTTTTAACCATGATCTTGTCTTCCGTTTTTACTTCAATAATACTTTCTTTAGCCTTGTTACCCACACTTGCTTTGCTTCCGGATGAGACTTTGATTTTCTTTGCACCGACTTCCTTCGTTTCCTTCTCATTTTCAACAACACATGCTGCCGACTTTCTCTTCCCTCTGGTGTTACTGGGCGTTTCACTTTCTAAATGTGTGCCAGCTTTTTTCTTCAAAATCCTTGTTTTCGTTTCTTTTGGCTTTGTTTTTGGCAAGTATTCTTGTTTGTCAGCATCATTCTTTGTAGTTGTAATTCTTTTCCCCCTTGCCATGACTGATTCCCAAAATGACTGATTTCACGGATATACAATGTTATTCTAACTGCATGTATTAGTTAGTGGCTAATAGTAGTCATTAACACCGACGTAAATATCAATGCATCACCATTGATGATATGTCATGTGCATAAAAATAGCCATGATGAGTGCATTGATAAACATTTAGTCTCTGGACATTACATTTCTTTGATTAATTCCGTATGATAGCAGCAAATTACCAGAGTTACATTATTTACATTCGTCACTATCTCCCGCCAAAATGTCATATATCACCTCAGAGAGCTCCCGTAAGGGAGGTAATTACAGTTTTCAGCGAGCGACGTTCAGCTAGATAAATAACGTTGAACAATCTATGGTTTCTATTTTTCTTTTTCCTTTTTTTTTAATATCTTGTTTTCAAAGCAAGTATATCAGTTTCAACTTCAACACTTTAAATCTACTTTAAAACTTGTGTCAAATCCTTTTTCCAATGAAACCTCTCTAATCCGACACATGTTTGGCGCCGGTTGCATTTTATGCACCGTCATAACTGCAAGTTGTATTAGTCCTAATGCGGCGACGAAAGGTCTTTTAAGGTAACAACTCACCAATAGCTTGACAGGGAGTTTTAATTTGGCATCATTGAGGCAGGACTAGATTGTGTACAATATAGTAGCCGTAGACTAAGGGTATGACGTCGTCAACGGTGAGTTTATATAAGGTCTACACAACACTAATTGAATACTAAATCGTCCATTCTATTACAGTTAAGGTGATAATTCAACAATTCTTGTTAATTTTAAAATGATATATAAAAGGAATCAATGTAAGCCAGTATTGACTATGCCTGCTATCCAGAGACCATATATTATACGTCTCGATGCTACCTAATCATTTAAGATTATCAAAGCAATTAAATTTGCTGAAACGAAAATGTTATGTTTCTCCTATAGAGCTACTGTTAGACTAGAAATCTTCCCAAAACTTATCAATATTGTTAAAAAATCATGACTTTTTAATTTCCACTTAAATTTTCTGTCCGGCAGATGCTTTTTTTTTTAAGTTTCTCTTAATCTCTCTCTTTTTTTCAATAGTCTTTCTCTCAAAGTATGAGAAAAAATGACAGAAAACAAAACAAATAATCAGAGCAGTAATAAGATCGGTGGCTGTGGAGGGTGTTAGGTTAAACAATGGTGGATCCAGAGACTTATCTAATATCTAGGGTGTTTCCAATTTTTCAGGAGGAGGGCGGGGGGAACATGTGGGGAATTAATTTTGAGGAAAATGATGAAAATACATGATTTTTATAGAAAAAAAGGGTGGGGTGGGGGTAGGGGGGTTGGTGGTCCTGAAGCCCCCAAAAAACTCTGTAACTGCTTCTGGTTAAAGACCACTTAGAAGGTTTGAACTTGAATGTACTATCACCCCTGTTACAGTTGTTTACTCCTCAAATCAGCAGTGTATTAGATGATATAACCAAACTTACTGCATATTTTTTAAGTTTGCAGAGTCAAGGTCAAGAAAATTTATTCCGATTTGGTGCATCATTTGCCCCATGTTGTTTATTTTGGCAATTTAACTACTGGCTGAAATAAGGGTTTGTGTAACCACACATGAACTTCTCATATAGTGATGGAGATCAATTGAAGTTTTACTCTTGCAAGAAAAAAAATACGTATATATTTATATATGGATGTTTGTTGTTTACCAGGAGGCTGTGTGACAAGGGTCTGAGGGTCACACAGTACAGCTGTATATCTCATCTAATTGGTCTGATTAGAACATAATTGTGCCCATTATGTATGTGAACTGGTCGGGCTGTAGTTGTGCGAACCTACCGACTCCCACTGTTCCCGTAATTGTCCCGATTATCACATACTGTTCTTGTGATGTATGTCATCATCATGTTACCGTTATATCAAAGGAATAAGGCTCACTAGGGATGTTGGGGAATAACGGACATACTGTCGTCATTTGGTATAAACAACTATTACTCTTTTTGTTGTCTCCAAGATGAAGTCATCCTTAGTTTCTTTAGACATGTACTACTGCTTTCATCCTTCTTTTTGTCTGTTTTTCAAACAACTGTGTGGTTTGGGATTATCGATATATCTTAAGACATAAATATCCCTGTTTCACCAAGCAGCCAACACACTTAGTACTTATCACTTATTGGTAAAATGGGATCAGGGATCATGCATGGATTCCTGGACTAGTGAAACAGTAATTGTCTAGTTATGGACATCACATGCTAAATAAAGAGGTCAATCAAGATCAAATAATCAAGAGTCAACAGTACCAATGTTAGTGTTAACTAGAGTCCAGAGTTCCCGTTTCTGTATATGTTCATTGTAGGTCCAGAGTATGAAGGTTCCTGTGTACTGAAATCCAGAGTAATATGGGTTTTGTATACTGGAGTCCAGTGTAAGGAGGTTACTGTAACCTGTAGTCCAGAGTAATATGGTATACTGGAGTCCAGAGTATCAAGGGTCCTGTATACTAGAGTCCAGAGTATCAAGGGACCTGTATACTGGAGTCCAGTGTATGAAAGTTCCTGTGTACTGGAGTCCAGTGAAAGGAGGGTACTGTAAACTCTAGTCCAGAGTAACAAGATTCTTGTATACTGGAGTCCCGAGTATCAGATTCCTGTATACCGGAGTCCAGTGAATGAAAGTTCTTGTATACTGGCGTCCAGAGTATCAAGGTTACTGTATAATGGAGTCCAGCATATGAAGGTTACTATAAACTGTAGTCCAGAGTAATATGGTATACTGGAGTCCAGAGTATCAAGGGTCCTGTATACTGGAGTCCAGTGTAAGGAGGTTACTGTAAACTGTAGTCCAGAGTAATATGGTATACTGGAGTCCCGAGTATCAGATTCCTGTATACTGGAGTCCAGTGAATGAAGGTTCTTGTATACTGGAGTCCAAAGTATCAAGGTTCCTGTATACTGGAGTCCAGCGTATGAAGGTTACTATAAACTGTAGTCCAGAGTAATATGGTATACTGGAGTCCCGAGTATCAGATTCCTGTATACTGGAGTCCAGTGAATGAAGGTTCTTGTATACTGGAGTCCAGAAAATCAAGGTTCCTGTACACTTTGAGTTCAGAGTATCAAGGTTTCTGTTTCCTGGAGTACAGTTTATCAAGTTTCCTGTATACTGGAGTCAAGTGTATGGGAGTTTCTGTATACTACAGTCCTGATTAATGAGGTTCCTGCATACTGGAGTCCATAATATTAAGGTTTCTGTATGCTATGTATACAGTCCTGATTATCACGTTTCCTGTATACTGGAGTTTAGTGTATCAAGTTTCCTGTATACTGGAGTCCAGAAAATCAAGATTCCTGTATACTGGAGTCCTGAGTATCAAGGTTCCTGTACACTGGAGTCCAGAGTAGCAAGGTTCCTGCATACTGGAGTCCAGAGTATCAAGGTTCCTGTATACTGGAATCCAGAAAATCAAGATTCCTGTATACTGGAGTCCAGAGTATCAAGGTTCCTGTATACTAGAGTCCAGAATATCAAGGTTCCTGTATACTGGATACCTGAGTATCAAGATTCCTGTATACTGGAGACCAGAGTATCAAGGTTCCTGTATACTGGAGTCCTGAGTATCAAGATTCCTGTATACTGGAGACCAGAATATCAAGGTTCCTGTATAACCCTTTCAAAAGCATAATCACAAAAGAAGGACAAGGCATGCTGAGATTGTAAGTCAATATATTTGGAGTAAGTTTACAAAAGTATCGACCATGTGTTTATAATGTACAGTATCATAACATGTACACAACCTTATCTAGAAACCAGAAACATTGTCAAAAATTTATCTGATCATACATATATAATCCATCTACAAATACATTATTTCAACATCATTTCCATATACAACAAGAATGGTAGGTGAAAGCAGCATATATACCTTATGATATACATATATAAAATATTGCAATAAATATGCAAGTCAGGTGGTTTGAATGAAACATCTTTAATATGATTTTGCTTCGAATGCCTTTAAGCTAGGTCTGGTTTCATTTATTATGCTGAAATACCTGGATCTTATAGATTCTATGACCACTGGGCCCTTATGATGATGACAATGAAGTCCTATATGTGACCAGTTAATTAAGTATAAGACATAACATAGCTACCTGTAGGGTGTGTGGTTCAAACCCTCTCATATATTATAAATCATCACTGCTGAGTTAGACTACTGTAAGAAAAACGTGGGTAATACTGCACCTGGCTATAAATTATTAAAACGTTTCTGTTGTATTTTATACCATAGCTTAATTAACGATCATCATATATTTTTCTTTTTAATTACCAGTTAACAACACTGTTTTTCATATTGTGAATATTTGTTAAGAAATCTTCACAGTTGGATGTAGTGGAAGGTCTGGTTTACAAGGGTTTCCAGATTATACAGGGTTCACAGTTTGGCAGATAACTGTATATGGCAAGATCAAAGAGGAAACACACATCTAGCTATATATCAGAACATATACCATGAAAAAATACCTTAGCATATAGGCTGGTCATTCAGGAAAATGTTGCTTAAAAAATCTTGATAAATATTACCATTTGAGTTTCCACCTTTAACAGGTTAGAGATATTATAATTTTCTAGTGCTTTGGACAATCTTAACCAGAGTTCAGAGGTAGATCATTTGATTAATCACTGTTGCTAATACTTTGGACAGTCTAATAAAGGTCAAGAGTTAAATACAGGGCAGGAAAAAGTAAGAAATATTTTAAGGTGTCTAAAATCTTGTAGGGTAGAAATAAGCCAGGAAACCATTGCAACACAATTGCCATATGAGTAACTTATCTCCCGAAAATTCTTTCTGTTTTACAAGCAAATCAACATTTCATGTAAAAAATACCAATCAGAAATATATAATTTGGGAGGAACAAAGTATTCAAAATTTGACAAAAAAATAATTCAACTGTTGAATTACTGTAAATTGATAAAATATATATCTATATTCCTGGATAACAACGGATAAATTATTAAATAGCAGGCACTTCATTATAATAATAGAAATCAATCTAATTGAACACTAAGCACTCAATATCGAGCTCTAGGAAGGGGTGGGAATACAAATACCTCGCGCATGAGGAATGTTAACCTTACAGCCAGGTGAATATGGCCCTGATGGCACACACACACGAAGCTATGGAACTACATGTGTACATTGCTACAGCTGCTGTACCACAGCACCTGTTCTGCAGCTAATTGGGTGATATTACCGATGAAGCTAGTGCTATTCACATAAAAAAATTGACAACCAGCTGCATTGCTTACATAAAAGATATATATTTGTGGATATCAAGTCTCGGATTATGTCACTTAATAATATTGGTGACAGGATAAAACCAAGGGTCCTCACTTATAGTGATATAGCCAGTAGGCCAATAAATAAGTATAGGTAGGCCTTAATAACTTAATTAGTGCATAAACTGGGGAAAGTCACCCGGCCTAACTTTTGCTCAATTTTCTTCTCAGTTCAGTTTATAGTTCAGTCTCCTTTTTATTTTCATTTTTAAGGTGAAGTTAGCAAAAAATTGAAAAAGAGACTATGCTTTCCTGTTAAAAACATTGGCGCATATACATGTACTATTAGTTTAACTCTACTAATCATTATGCAGAATTCGGGTTTTGAGCCTTGGATTTCATAAAATACACCTGAAATATGTACTGTGGTAGCTTGCTGAAGGTCAGAGTGACCTACATTGTAATTGTTACCTAAGATGCATATATCTACTGTCAGTTTCACTCATTCATTTAAAGTTATCTAGAGTCTAGTGTCACTAATCATTTCCATACACCTAACACAAGGTGACGATTTCATATTCACATACTGAACCAGTGAACTTGTCCTCTGAAAAAGTCCACACAAAAATCATCAGATTATCCAACATACATCCATTTTGATTACAAAGCTTACAGTCACAGACACATCTTTTTGAAAAACAAAAAAAAGTTATGATTTTCGATTATATATGTTATCACAACATTACGCAACAAACTTAACAGTCAAACACACCACACAACTTAAAATTCACAACATGATTTTGACAGCTGAATAATCATTATGTCCCTTTACATTCCAGTTTGTACTATAAACTATACACAGTACAGACTAACCTACACTACACAGACATCCCACACCCGCACAGTTAACACTAGTCATCTACGTGATTGTTCTGTGATATTTGGCCCCTCAGCAATCCAGCTCAATGAACAATGGACGTCCCAGCTACACACAAAATGTAAGGTCACATATATACATCAATATATAATACAAAAAGCCAATGATACAAAAATAATGTACAATATTGGATAAAACCCAAGTTTACATGAAGCTGAATATTAGTTGCATAATATGCTACCAGGTATGTATGATCCAAATCTGTACATGTACAAGCATTCTGGACTGGGAAGTAAACAACAGGCAATGTGTGGAGACGGACAGGCCCCGCCCCGTGGGCCATTAACACTGAATATGAATGTAGTTAGCAGCCTATATATTTAAAAAATATTCATAGAAAAATTAGCTGAGCAAATACATCAAGGCAATGCAATGGGTTAGAAAAATACTGGAGGAGTTGGCATTGGTAATGATAAATGTGTGCTATGTCCAAGGTTAGTGATCTGGTGCAACTTTGAGCAGATATGATTTTGTTTAGGTTTGTTTGTAATTTTCTGGTAAATAATAAGCTAAATATTATAATTGTAATTTTCTGGTATATAATAAGCTAAATACATGTATTATAATTGTAATTCGTAAAAAGTATCACAACCGAAAGATTACACAGGTAGAAATGTGCTGAAAATGCATCAGAATCTCAATTCAAAAGTGATTAAAGCTTAATTGGGTACAGCAACTATATATGAAGTTTATCAAAATATGTAAATTCAAAATTTTGAAAATACCCGGGAAATATAAAATTTGAGGTTAATCCTTATACATATATATTTTGTACAATATAAAATATACATATACTTCTATTATACCAAGTAGTGAAAATTTGAAAACTTGGGACTATAACAATGTAACCAAGACTATTACAGGTACCATTTTTACAGTCCAGCTTCATTAATCAGTTGTCACCACTAACTTATTTGTCCTACTGTTCAGCCAGTGTTTTAGCGACAGTTCTCTCATTATCTGTACAAAACCATCTCAGTAATTCAGCACATTTAGTGTCTAGCTACTTCACTGAATTCAGGCTTGGAACAAGCGTAGTTCGGTTTATGCAGCAAGACTGTTATCTAATTAATGTATTTATTACAAAATGTAAGCACTGTGTCTGCAGCAGGTCAGTAATACATTAAAATAGAGTATGAACAGCTTAGTGATAAAAAACAGACACTTTCTAAGGAATTGATCAGTAGCCTTCATGCTGACACAAACCTCACATGACGTACAGCACATATGAAAGTTTCACATTTAGAATTTTCCTTTTTTAATGAAAATTTAGATATAATAAGAAGTCAACTCGGGTACTTTTTAGTTTTGCCGGAAGATAACTCATCATGGCTAGTCCAATAACATAATCCCAAAAAATTAATTGAATTAAGGCAAATTCCTTGATTAATTCGAGTTGTAGAGACATCAACTGTATTTAGTACATATCAAAGTCTAAGTAGTAGAGTTCACAGAGCACCCAGATTGTCTGGCAGGGTGATTCACACACGACCGATGACTGTGTCCACACAAATGTTACATTTAGCCATGATTAGTGTTGATAATCATCTAATTATTAGTGCAAAATGGTATTTCCAATAGAAACAGATCTTACAGATAAATGCATGAAGATATTCAATCAGGACTCAATTACAAAAAATAATACACAACCGTTGTTTTTACATATTCTACACAGTGGTTATTCATGTACAGTGGTCCAAAACTCTACCGGCTCAAAGTTAACTTCCTACGCTTCAAAGATCAGTTAGAGCTTCTCCATCGATAATATCTTTTGTGCAATGTACTTTAAATGAGAGATATTTTTGCCTGTTTCATTTACACTTTTCATCTTGGAACAAGAGGATAAATGCAAAAATAGCTAAAATTTCTAATATATATATATCTTAAGATGGTTTTAAAACCATGGTACGGTGAATTATTTTTTAAATACCTGAGGGCAAACAATTTGGTTCTTGAAAATAATGTGGTTTATGATAAGTGTATTTCTATTGGCTATTTCAAATGTCATTTAAAAAATTTGGATTATTTATACTGACTATAAATACAAATTTTATTAATCTTTCCTGACCAACAATAAGTAGCAATACTGTGAAAAAAGCTCCACACATACAGATGTCTACTTCCATCTGAATGTTGGAGTTGATTATGATAGACTTGAAGACCTCGTACTACATCATACAATCACCTTATATGTACCAGGTATAACAACACTTTGAAATGTTCTGATGGGAGGACCTATTGGACTAGGATTCTGACATCCACTTTTGATGATAAAAACAACTGTGTGACATCATGATTTAAGTTTACAAAAATAACGGATAAAGCTCAAATTGTATTTAAACAAAACAAGTGTCAATGATCCATTTGTACTAGATAAATTCAATGTTATGATAAGAAGAACTTTTTTCAATAAGTTATTATATATATTTACAATGCAAATTATCAAAGGTGGTCAATGATTTTGTATGTCAGCCACCAAATGCAAAAGATTCATCTTATAAATGCTATCTCAGATAGACACTGTTAAGGAAGTAACACTTCTCTGACACTTACACAAAGTATTGGCAGTTCTAGATCACAAATATCTGTTGTATACCTGAAAATGCCTACATATAGCACACTTTCATCCTCAAGTAAGGAATAATTAAAACAACATCTTATATATACTGAAACCTGTCTATACTGACATCATGCAGAACTTTGCCATTTTGTCTGATTAGATATACATTGCTTGTAATTTATGGTTAACTTTAACTCAATAACCCCTGAAATGTCATAATGAACTATTCTAACCTTTGAATTGGAGGGGTTCAAATGTGTCTTCAGTGGAGAATGAGTGTCCTTAATCGTCTAATGTCAGTAAAGTCAGATATCACTTTACATCAAACACATCTATCTGTATTGGAAGTACTGTAGTACTGGATACAATACAGCACTACGTAATTATAACTATATGTTAACAATGTTTCTGTGTTAATTAGTACGGAATAATTAATTGTTTTGTTGGAATACTGTAAAGGAAATAAATATCACAACCAATGTTTTATCTTAAAAGTCTTTAAAAATGAAAAGAAAAATACCAAGTACATGTAATATTATAACAAATCAATCAAAATAATTGAAATCAATACTTTTTTGTGTCATACAAATGTATTAAATAACTTTTGAAAAGAAATCACAGAAACCATACATATTGAAGATTGCATTTTGTGATTTAATACACATGTATACATACCAAACTTGAACACAACAGGATTTATAACAACCTGCTTTGCTTTTAACCCCCAGAGATTTAGACTTACATACTAGGTACAGCACAATAAGAGCTGCATTACATTACCGATATACAGGTCACTAACTAGAGCTGAAGAAACCATATCTACTTGGTATATGTAATTTATATTCAAAGGAGCCAGTTTTGTTAATGTCAATGTTATTTAACTGATTGTTGGAATTAATAACAAAATAATAATGCTACAAAGCTTCATTCACAGTGTCAAAATTCCACTGTGTGGTTTCACATTTAATATGGTGTAAATACCCAGGGCCAAGCCATGCATATATGGAATATTTAATTTTAGTGGAATATGTAGTATAAAGTAAAGTCTTAATTTAATAGGAATGGTTTAAAATCTTTGGAATGAGAAAAGAAAACAGTAGATAAACTCTTTTATCATAAATAACAACAAAAACAGAAATTAATGTGGTATAACAGGGATGTTTACCAGGTGACAGATAAACTGACTGAACGCTATACACTCTATTATACTAGGTAGTAATACTATATCTGTAACTTATAAACTTACACTGTATAATAGAAATACAATATTTCTTATGCGAAAACTAACACAACAGCTTCCCTAAACTGACCGGTAAGTTGTGTGGTATGAAAAAATCATTTCGATTTGTACATCAATCACAGACTGATATACAGATTGAAAGGTCAAGATTTAGGAATACATGAACGAACCTGTAAAAATTAACATGTTGACCATTTTTTGTCTGATTTAAGGACTATGTCAAATATAGGTAGATTCGAATATGATAAATTATTCAATTCTATATACCTGGTAAATATTGATACAGAACCAGTAATTCAATACAGTATTATATTTCAAATCTACCTACACTACAAGAGTCGGCTGAGAATAAGGTACAGTGCATGTATATATATGGTCTATTAAATGAACAGATGAGAACAAGAATGCAACTAAAAAATGCAACAAAATTTAAGAATTATTTCCTGTAGTTACTGTTTTCAATACATGCAAGCAAATTAATTACGAACCCGAACATGTAGGTATTTATATAACAAAATATCATGACAAAATCTTCAGTTCATGCATACGTCAACCAATGAAACGTTAACAACTGTGGTTGTTAGTTAACGTGTTTATACCTATGACAACCAATGAAATGTTAACCATTGAGGTTGTTAGTTAACGTGTTTATACCTATTACAACCAATGAAACGTTAACAACTGTGGTTGTTAGTTAACGTGTTTATACCTATGACAACCAATGAAATGTTAACCATTGAGGTTGTTAATTAACGTGTCATCACATACGTCAACCAATGATTTGAAATGTTAACAATTGAGGTTGCCAGTTAACATGTTAACATCTATGACTACCGATGTAATGACTAGAGACATCAGTTTATTTAGAACACTTCCAAGTAGACAGTTGCCACGGTAACTTACATTGACTGTTTTATCATATACAATATGTATAGGTCACATCTAAATCCAGGATCATGGCCAGGGACATTTTTCATAGTCAAGTCCATATACATGTGTGAATATATTAAATTTAACAAGCGACACTTACTCTGCGTGAGATGGAATGAATCTACAGGTTTTGGTTCCTGTAGTCAGTTGAGATGATGACGTGCGTGTGCATGTGATGCGATTACGATGTACATTTTTTTGTTTGTCACAAAAGTTAAAAGGAATCTGTTAATGACTAATTTAACAACACTGCATTTTATGTGACATAGCAATCAAGACACTGGTCTTCTAAAATAATCTGGAATATCCGGATTAAAAACACCCCTTCTTAACAATTTCTTGCAATTAAAATAATTTTATGATAGTTTAATTTCTATCTGGAAAGAATATTTCACTGTCCTCTATTGAATATATTTCTACTATGCTATACTGAAATACACTGAATCGTTTTCATAACATATGTACCCACATTATACATTCCTTCAGCTGTATAATCTGTTGGTCAATAGATTAAAAACATTGTCAATGTTGGCCACATACTCGTATCAAGCAGTGTGGCCTCCTATATACAACACTAAACTGTCTGGAATCAAATACAGTTTGACTACTATCCTGTTACTTAACGCATGTAAATTGTTTTGATTTCAACCAGTATATCAGTATCTCTAAATAACATTATAATTAACTTGGGTTTCTGATTTGTATAAATTGAAATGATATAATAGACATCACTCAATTCCTTTGGCAGTATAATATAATGATATCACTTGGCAATTTGGCATTTTTGAATGATGTGCAATGGAAAATTGAATGAGTGCATTAAAAGCTTTTGAATAATTTCAACAATTAACACAAAATATGAAATAACCATGATTCAACTGATCTTAGCAGAAATATTTGAGAACAAACAATTTGTATAACTAAATATCCTTAAAATCAACGGAAATCAAAGTAAAACATCATTATGATATTTGGAAAAAAACTTTTATGCCCAGATCACAAATTGGCAAGAATGTTTTAAATTCATTGCAGTGTACAAGTAAAGTAAAGGAGCTTCATCACCACTTACATTCACAGAACAAACATATACATTTGTGACTAAATACTAGCAATCGCCATCACACCATCAGAACTTTGTGCTCCCCTCATCTGGTTCTGTCTCAAACACTTCAGATTGGCGGGGGTTTGTGAGTGTTTCTGCGTCCTCCTCTGTCTTCTGAAGTGTTCCAGTCTTACTGCCATCCGACAGGGATGACTTGATTGAGCCTGGTATGAGGTAATCATCCTCGGACACCATTACCTGGTCAGGGCTTCCTACTGACCTGTAACCTGTGTCCTCACTTTCACAACAATTCTCATTAGATGATTCTTTTAACATATTCACTTTAGTCTTGCCGGGATTTTCACAAGCTAAATGAGCTGTATCCCCATCGGATTCCACATGAATGTCCTCATAATTCCTGGAATTGACCCTGGGGCCGTCCTCGTCCTCTGAGCTTTCCTCTCCCTCACCATGCCCCGAGGGTTTTTGTGGGCTCCGTTTGATCTTATAGTCGTCTATGTGGATGTAGAAGTTGGGGTTGGGTACCACCTGTTCCTCCTCCTTGGCCCCCTCATTGAGACAGCGCCGGTCCTGCTCCATCCGCTGGATTAGTACCTGTATTTCATCACTGGTTGCATAAGCAAGATCCCGTTGTTCAGCTCGGTTCGTTTTAAAGTTACTGTTATCCCATGGCATATGGTAAGGATTTGCCTCTATTTCAGGTGTCTTTTTGTTTGTTTTAGGAGTTGGCGGGGGAGGTGGATGTTTAACTTCAGAAGGGAAAAACTGTCCACTTTGTTTTCTACCTGGAGTAAAAGTTTCCATGATTTTGCCTGGACTTATGATACTGCCAGTTTCACCACCAGGCTTACCGTTAGTAGCTCCCACCGTTTCATAATAATTTCCTTCATGTACATCATACCTATCTGCCAGGGGAAGAGGTGGTGGTATGTTTCCCCCAGTCAACACCATCCGTGTTTCCTCATCATGTTCCTTGGCTTTTCTCCTTAATTATAAAAGGACAATGACAGGTCAACAACTTATGCATTTCAAATGTCATTTTTCAAGGAGCTTCAATGATGCAAGAGTAACCAGATCAGCATAATATGAATTTTATAAATATAAATACTTCTTTTGTAGATTTAATTTTTAACACTCATCATTACATGTTACTCAAAACAGATGGACCAAAATCTTTGTATTAATGACAAAACCATCAGAACAAACTTAGACATTAATTATCACAAGAGTATAATTGCATATTAGCTCACTAGTTCTCAGGAAGATTCGGAAAATGTCCACATTCTGATATATTCAGAGTATAGATTTAACACTGTCACAGGCCTAGACATAAAGTGTTCTAGCCCTGGGTATCAGGCAGAGGAATTGTACAACCTTGTCACTGCTTTATAATACTGTTGCAGCAATCTGGCAAGTATTACACACAAAAATAATTGCACATACATGTATTATCAAATGATGATTTTGTGCAGATATTCTCAAATTAACCACATGTTTCAATGTGGATTAATGATAGAAAACTGGTTAAACTCCTTAATTACTCCAAACATAAAAGTAAAGATTACTTTGTAAGGCAATGCCAGATCTGTAAATTACCTTTTCCTTGATTGTCTCCGCCTGAAGATACAGATGAGGATTATCAGTAGAAGAAGAACAATGGCACCTGCTGCTGCCCCTCCTATGATAGCCGGCCATTCTGGAACAAAGAGTTCAAGTAAATATTATCACCTGTCATTGCAGAACGAATGTAATCACCAGATGTGGACTAATAGAATCTTACATGGGTCTGTTCCATGGACAGAGATATCTCAACCCGAGTGTAAGCCCAACTCTTACACGAGGGTTGAGATATCCCTGTCCATGGAACAGATCCATGTTTGACTATTTTCTCACATACTTACAAATAAACAAATTCCAGTCAGAATAAACATCAATCTGATTCTTCCGCCAAATTCCCAAAACCCTAAGGTTGAGCGGAGGATTCTCCATTCACAACAAGTGTATGACATCACGGAAACAATACGATGATGTCACATCGACAGTTCATTATTATGACGCGTGTCAGCTGTCTTTCCCTACTCCGTGTGAGATATAGAGCTATCTCTTTACTAGCAACAACGGGTTCACCCTGTGAAGTATGTGAGAATACAATCACTTTCTCTGTTTACATGACATATGTCCTTTGACAACTTTATTTCCAATTAAAAAGTTGCCAGCCGATAACAAAGTTTTTCAATAAGTGGGTAGTACCTGTGACAGTGACCTTGACTTAGTACCCTGAACACAAACTTGTTTAAAGCATTCTCATATTTGAATATGAAGTCTGATCAAAATATGTTCAGAAATACAGTTGTTATTGTGGTGACAAGATTTTTCTATGAAAAGTAACAGTCACCTTGAATTTGACAACATGAAACATATACAAAAACTCGTTCCAGGTATTCTCACACTTGACCATTACATGAAGTTTTATCAAATCTTTCAAAATGAAGCTGCTAGAGTGATGAAAAAGGGTAAACAAATGAACAAACAGATATACTTATGTATAGGACACAATTAAATATCAATGACAAGATTCAAAGACATTGCCATGAATTAACTTTACAACATTTCTTACACTCTGGTTCCCTGTTCAAAATAGTAAGTGGGAAACTACAACTATCAAATGACCTCAGAGGAGTTAAACATGGCAGTTATATATGATAAAAGATTGCAAATAAAACTAGTTTCAGTGTTCTATAAAAAGTTACAACCACTTTGATCTTGATACCCTGAAACATGCACACACACAAGGTACTACTCTTAAAGTTGATTTTAATATTCATATGTTTTTTTCTGTATGTAATTACCATCTCCATAACCTATTGGATGAAGTTGCTAAGCGTTTAAATTGAATCAGTAGATGATTTTCTATATATAGCAACAGTGACCTTGGCCTTGACCTTGGAACCCTGAAACACAACAATGTCCGAAGTATACTCATACTTGACCTTTGCATAAAGTTTGACCAAAATCCATGAAAGAATGAAGTTGCTAAGTGTTTAAATTGAATCAGCTGATGATTTTCTATATATAGCAAGTGTTACCTTGGCCTTGACCTTGGATCCCTGAAATACAGCGATGTCCGAAGTATACTCATACTTCACTTTTTTTATAAAGTTTGACCAAAATCTGTCAAAGAATGAAGTTGCTAAGTGTTTACATTGAATCGGGCCGGGCCGGGCCGGGCCGGGACGGGACGGGACGGGATGGACATGGATAACACTATATGCCCCCCAATTTTATGGCGGGGGCATAAAAACTTCCAAACTGAACTCCAGGAGTTGCACTTTTAATTGTAACATTGTTAACATCCTACCTGTGCGATCTTTAGACTGAGCTCCACCCCCGTCAGCATTGAAGGTTGGCATGGGACCGTGGGTATGTTCTCCATTCCCTTCAAAAATGTCATCTGAAACGTATACACAAATGTTATCTAAAAAACATGACTTAATACTAATACAGTCTATCATTTGTAGGTGCTGAGTTATGACACCAAACTCGGCATTCCTATCCCACATTCCCACATAACGATTGATGCTTTTTCTCCCACCTCTGAAAGCGGAATTTCAGTAAACAGGACATAGAACAATGCAAATGCCAAATTTCTAGAAAATGTATACACAAACCAAGGCCATATTTGGAAAGGCAGAAAAATGTACGGTATAGCGTAGAGATACTTCAAATTTAGAGATCCATTCAAGACGTTCAAGGCAAGCTTGTACCACAATTCTTACGTTTTTGAGGTTGTGTCACTTGCCAACAGCAAAACATACCCTATCATTTGATTATTATTATCATCATAGTTAAGGTCATTGAGTGTTTTTATACACAGAGGTTGGAGAAACTGGGTCTTAGCAAGCTATAGGGTTAAGGGAATATACAAGTTTCCCTGACTACTAAAACTAGGTTTTGAGTTAATGTATATGTATTTCCTTGGTTACAATATACATGAATGTATATGGTTTTGGACAAAAACATGTTTTCTTGAAAACTTAACATAAGGTTTGAGTCCATTAAAGTGTATTTCCTTGGTTAGCAGATCTATGATTTGGGGCAATATAGTGATAACATTTTGAGATCAAGTATTTAAATCAATACACATAATTCCTCTTTACTACAAACCTACCTGCAGTTACTGTTGCTGATGGATTATGTGTTTTGGGAGTGGTTGGTATCATCTCAACGGGACCACAGAACCGTGGATTTTCAGCACTCTGTTTTCCGCACGAAATCACCACTTTTTGGCCAGATAAGGTCGCTGTAAAATGACAGGTTAAATTGTCACATTAACCTGGAGCTGTTCATTCATTTAAGGATATATCTAAATATAATAATGTCTCTTACACTGGAATAATAATATTAAAAACCTCAACACAAAATCTCAAAATGAACACAGTAATGTATTGCAAGCAATCTATAGTTTCTTACCTTTGAACAAACCTCGTTATTGAAAAAGAACAAAGGGTGACAAATTTAGCAATTGTAGGTAACAACACATAGAAGATTACGCTATGCCATGGACAGTGACCAAATAATAAGAGGGTCATGATCATGAGACCCAATGTCAATTCATGACATCCAGAACATTCTGCTACCCCAAAATGTACTTGCATACAAAACCTGGAAAGATATCACATGCCATGAAAAAAGTGATACACTGACAGTGACAACCTAACTGATTGGTGGGGTGCAAAAACACCATCCCCTTCTTACCTTTGACCTGCAGCCAGACCTGGGCAGGGTACACGCCTGGCTCGTAGTACATAGACATGCGAGCGTAGGAGGAGGAACTGTAGTATATGTCCATGAACTGCCGATAAAAGTGGTTAGTCTGACATTTATAGTCCCGTGGCCCGTTGGTGTCTGTGATGGTGAACTTGGCATGTGGGTGACACTTTGAAATGTTGCTGGCTTCATGAAGACGCACATCCACGGTGCGAAAGTGAAGCTTTGCGATGGAGCTACAGTCAGAAGTGGACAGGATACATACACAGCGGTTCGACTGACGGTTCGACGTTTCCATGTGGGTGCCATTAAATATCAGGTTGATGGTGTCTCCCTCCAGAGATTGGTTGGAACACATGTCCAGGAAGGAGGAATCTAAAACAAATCAAAACATTGACAAAATCATAAATCAGAAAGAGAAACCATGGCTGTTATTTACAAGCAAATTTATATAGATGATTTCTGATTTTGTGATTTCAGTGGTAGAGAACATACTTGTTACATGTATGATATTGTAGAAGGTAAAATTAGTGTGTAGTTACTGGTAAGTTTGAACAGAGTGTTAGTTCGAATGTAGATTTATCAATCCGAATTAACATCAACCTTCAGTGTGAGATATAACTACAGAGTATGAGATAACATGCGTTGATTTTTTCATAAAATCGTTTCACGCCACTTGAATTCACATTCCGAAAACTGACAACTACAGTGGTAATTAATATCATATTTTATGTAACACCACCAAGACAAACTACACTAACCTTGTATTATTTTGGTGACCTAAACAGCTTACACACTGATAACGTGACCAAATGAATGCTCAGTCCAGCCTAACTTCTTTTGTATATACATTTACATAGGTAGAGTCAGGATACAAGAAGACACCATCTGATGAAGTTGACAGAGTACAAATGGCACTAGTCAATAAAAACTGCATTACATAGACTTTTAAACTTAACTGTATCTTATAGTATTCTAAACATTATGACCATATTTAGAAACATAGTATTCCCTTTCATAGACTGAGCTAGAAGTAAACCAAACATAAGAATTCTTTTTTATGTCTGTGAGTACGAATCGTAACGAATGTACATGTTTTACTACTTATGCCGACAGTATGCACCTAAATTTCATAGTAAAACGTGACATATTAGATTGTTTGGAAACTTTTGTATTTACATATACAAGTCAGATTTAAAAAAAATAAAAATCCTGCATGTTTTTCATTTTGCATTACATACATTATTATTTCAAAAACAAAAAAAGTTTTATTCTATATAGCAAGTGAGGACATGTGAAATATAACATTGAGCTGTACCATCAACACATTTGTAGGAGGCGCGGACGTAGTTGGTGTGATTTCTGTTATTACAGGTGAAAGACATGGTATCGGCTTGGAGCCAGCCGCACTGCTGCATCCCAGAGCAGCGCTTGTAAACATCATAGGCCTTTGATTCGGAAAATGGTGTTCTGCAGTCGTATGGGTCATATTTACAGCATTTCTCCAGGTTCTGGCACGCAGTGTTGGGACATTCCGAAGACAAAGGCTTGGAGTAGTACTGGAGATCTTTGATGGCAATCTTTTGTTTGTAGGGACATTCCAAAGAGTATTGGTCGTTACATTCTCCGGCACAGGCTGTCTTAGTCCACTCATCACTGCTTTTGACGGACACTGCAATGTCAAAACGCAACATTTATAAATTAAACATCTACATATAGTTATATATACAAATTGAGGTACATGAACCTAATTTGCTCTACTACTGCAGTCAATAAAAATAGTGATATCACATGTAAACATCCTTAATTTGCTCTTTCATCTGGTCGAGAACTTCATGATCAATGATTGATAGTATATATAATGTACATGTATACATTAATAATTCACATCATAATATTTCATCATTGGAATGACAACATTTGCGTGAGGGAAAACTATTGATATTCTGCCATACTTGTGAAGTATATGGTGATGCTACTCTTGAACAATATTTATAGGACGAACACTAAAACAAACACATATACAGAACTGAGTTCTTAGTGCTTTATATATATGCTTTATCATTTGTACCAACTATATTTTTTTTAAATTTGGGGGAGGGGGGGTCCTAATAATTTTACTGCATATATACCCGGTAATTGTCACTTAATTGAAAAGCAATTGTCAAAGAAGTTTCAAAATGTTCTGAATAAGCGACGACTCATAAAAAAATATCAAAATATTTTCATTTTTTTATGTGTCAATAACTGCACATCATATATATACATGTATATGGTCCCGAAAATAATACACATCAGACCCCAGGTATGATATTCACAGAGTATTTCATATCAAATTATTACAAAATGTTGAGGATTGCAATGTACAACAAATACTATTAGAAAGCTATATTTATAGGTGAACACACCATATTTAGATACAATCAATATCTTATACAGGCAGACAGTCTAATTAAATTTGAATGCTAATCTAATGAAGACAGAAACTACATGTATAGCAATTTCCATTTACTGATATTGGAAAAAAGCCAATTACCTTTCACCACGTTAATTGTTCTGCTATATAACAACTGTCGACAGAATGAGATTTCCTAATGAACATGCTTTCCTGAGCCCTTCAGGCAGCCCATCAAGCACACCATTGTCAACATGGAATTCAATCAATTTCAACCACTTTACAGGAACCACAGTGAAAACTAATTAAAATGGTCGAATCATTTATAAAAAGAAAATACTGCCTCAGTAAAAATTTGAGTGTAATGATATATAGTGCGAGATGAATCAGACTGTGTTACATATGGAGAGCAATAGTGCAAGCCGTTTAGCAAATTCCAACACACAGTTATTACCATATTGAACTGTTTAATGGTAATTACCTAGATACATGCAGTATATAGGCATTATTCAAAATATTACTTTATATTTATACAGAATATGAAGCGTTTAAATAATGTATAACTATTCCAATATATATACCATGACACAATATAACAGTGAGCCCCATGAACAGTACTTTCGGGACCAATATTTCTATACCCACTCAACTGGATGGAGACAGATCATCTGAGCTATGTATGTGATTGCATGGATATGGAACCCTTTCCAATCACCCTACATAACTTTTTGTTTCCATAATCTGAGCAAGGTGACCACAGTTTCATCCACCTTCTTCTCACTGACATTGACTCTGTACATTTTAAAATTAATATTTGATTTTGTGATAGAACCTTTAATTTGCATCCTTGGATCACTTAGACAAGCCCCCACAACCACCAAACAATTCAGGAGTACCGGAGCTCATATATATAATGAATGATATACTAACTTAAACAAGTCATTACAATAAAATGAAATCTAATCTTTGGTGTTGATGATCCATCATTTAACATTGACATTACTTTTTCTTGGATATCGTTGGAGCTCTACTGAAAACTGCAGTATCCACCTCCGATTCATATACAGGTTCTATAAAGACAACTGCTTGTAGGATTCTGCATCTCTGTGCAATATAATTATGTTAAAGACAATAATTTTGCAACTTTTAATTCAAACCTTACATTTAAAATACCCACCAAGATCTTACCCTAAATTAGTGATGGGCAATCGGTTTAAAACCATAATTGATAACCAGCTGTTTGTAATTGGAAGTAGTAAACCGATCGATGATTGATTGCATAATTGATAACCATTCTGTAATGTAATCGGAAGTAGTAAACCGATCAATGATTGATTGCATAATCGGTTTACAAGTTTTTGCGATTGAATTCCCAAATAAAGTGAGAACACTACCATAACATCAATAGACAGAGTTGTTAACTATACACTACCATAACATCAATAGACAGAGTTTTTAACTATACCCTAGGTTACATTCCTTTTACTGAATGGATATCAAGCAACTTTCATGCATTTTTATCAATCAGAACAAGATATGACTTTCAAAGCATACTTTACATGGAAGACTTTCGAATACTTTTTTTTCAATAGTGAACCAATTATGTCGATTATGGAATTTGTAATCGATAATCAGAAACGGAAAGAGCAAACCGATTAATTTTCGATTATAATCGATCATCAGCCCATCACAACCCAAAATATTAATCAAAATAAAGAGAGACAAATAAAGGAGGACATCACAGCAAAGTTGATCATTCCAGTCAGCATTGTACCTCAAAGTGCACAGATTACTAACAATTCAATCATATCATTCAGTGATTTTTGTAGAAATACTTCAGGCAAGTCTTGGACATTTTTTCAACATGTTTTACTAAGAGATAAATAGCTGTTGACGAGTCCCACAGGAAAAGGATGGTTCCAGGACTCCAACATCTGAGTCCTAAACATCAGTGTCATTATAAAAACCACATCAGCTTTCTTGACAGACGCATTAAAAATGAAAAGGTTCCAAAGACCGATAGTTTGAGAACCACACTAATACAACAGGCTGATCAACGACCTTTGAGAATGGGAAATCTCTTTGTGTCATATTGAATTTTGATTATTAGCAGTCCGTTTACGAACTGGACGACACACAACTGTGAGACCATGAAATAGATCTGAAATACCAACAGCAAAACAAAACCGGGATGAGCCTGGACGTAGATTTATCCATTCCTGCATCAAAAGTAACGCCCATCACTGAAGTGGTAATAGACTTGCTTAAAGAGAACCTACTCCTGGAGTAACTCAAGCTAAGGCTGATGTGTCGTCAGAGAGTAAAGAAACAGTGAATAACAAATGACTGCCACACACGTCAGAATCCACACAAAAGTTGTGCCAATGATATTGAACACTCTGAAGATTAGTAACATTTGCTGTTAATTTGAAATGCATGACCATTGATTTTAAAGCCTCACAATCAGATAATTGTTTTAAGTAATGCAATAACGACAAGTACATGTACTCTGTAACTGTTTACCTGCCCTTGGCAATTGTTACTATATTGGCAGTCATCTATTATACAGTCATTTTGTTGGGATTGTTTTCCCCATGTGACTCTTAAACCTCAATTCCAAAACAATAATGAGTCCAATTTTCTATGAGCTATAGTACGGATTCTCGAATTTGGGAGAGTCCCACTGGAGTCTAGGACTATCATCTGTGTCCCAAAAATAACTGATGTGATGACATAATGTATAAAAAACGCACCATGAAGAGTATATGTCGGAGGCATGGTTTGTGTATAACTAAAACTGTTCCGACAAAGACTTTTGCTAAAGTGTTAAAGAATATATAGTTTCAATGCAACTGGTGATGCCTAACATATGTAGGTTTGGGATTGGACCCTGTTTACTTAAATTTCAAAGTAATGGTACTTATATTGTTTGTATTTAAAGCAACTACAGCACAGCTGGAAACTGGGACCAGGGCTTTTATAGGGATAGCTACATGTATATATAGCCAATTGCAATAAGTGTCCTATCATTTTGTTAATACATCACATTGTGTGGTAGATTTCCATGCATTAACAATAACAATAATAAAACATTTTTTTAGATTTAAAAACAAACAATGAAATTATGACCCTAAAACAATGGTCAGGCCTCTGAAATGTACATACACCAGCATAACAATATGGAAAGTGTGTCGCCAAACATGTGACCTAGTTTAAATTTATAGGCTATTGCGTTGCCACGAAATACTAGAGATCTGCAAGTGTAGATGCACTATCTAAAACTTCAGCACTTACAAATGTCAATAACATAATGATGTCAGATTAACATTAATTATGATATACCTAAATTGCACATCACAAAACGAAATGTTAGATCTAGAATCCAGATACAATGATAAACACCAACTGATCACAAAGTCATTGCACATTACCAATTGTATCGTTAAAAATACTTAAACTGTTTTAAATTCAATAATATGTAAATGATATCCGATTGAAATGTCACATAACAAGTTCATATTAGATTTATCATGTCAAGTGATCATGAAAAGACCATGACATGTGTGAATCAATAAGGTTTCAAAATTCTGGGCAGAGGTAAACTAGAATAAGGAGGCAAATTGACATTCGAATATGATCTGTTTAATGCTACCAATATCCCAGGTGATGTATTCTTTCGGAAACATGTACATGATTGATCAGACAAGTAAAGTTAATGCACAAAGATACTTTTTCAAGAAATACTTTTTTAAGGTTAAGACTACATTACAGTTTATAAGTCAAAGTCAATGTTGCTGCAAACTACACAGGTATTATATACATGTACACAAGATTTGTATTACAGCATGATTGGCATTGTTTCCATTCTCGTTGCACAAATGCTTTCTATCTTCCCAAAGGGGTTAGGGGGAACACTGAATTTACTATTAAAAGGAATGGTTTTAGGCTGCGGGTTTTTGGACATATGACGGTTCAGAGTTGATTCACCCGAAATCCTGTTCGCCCTATATGTTGATTCGCGCTAAGTTGTTTCGGCAGTTTTAAGTCACAAATTTAGTGTACTTAGTCTTCTATATAATTCTTATCAATTTCATAAACAAAATGTGTTTGTCTTGTTTTATAGCTGATGTGACAAATGGCAGCTGTGAAAAGCTGACTCCGCTCTTACATACTTACTCTACTTGAAATATACCAAACACCAATGTAGAAAATCATCAATAAGTATAGTTGATATAACTAAATATTAATTATTATATTAGACTATGAATTAAAAATAGGGCGAAACAACCTGTTACCATCATGACAGAGTTCTAAAATTTAAGGACTTACCACTTCAGAAAATTATTCTTTTATCACTGCATAATACCATATTGCTCTTAAATTATGTCACAATATCATTATGAATGGAAAAAGATGTATCTGAACATTTGGTGACTGAATTTAAATTTAGCACCGGCCTAGCTACAGACCTTATATATAAATTCAATACATACATGTCTTAAAAATTAGATGTAGCAAATGTACTGTTTTTTACAGTATCAGCTCTTGATAAAAATAAACTGAAATATATGAAATATAAATATCAAGCGAGATGTTCAACAATTATCTCTTACCTTGATTTGAACAGGTACAACACTGATCAGCATTATATAACACTACACACATGACACAACTTACAAGTTCCTATAAGAACCAAAAATGACAATGACACTACACTGTGTACTCGCTGAGGTTATACACATATATTTCCCATGATCTATTTCCTGACTTTCTGTGTCAGAGCATCAAGTACAATTGTGCATTGAAATGAAACACTGCTGTGACTCACATGGACCCGAGATTAGCCCATGGGTGTCCAGTGACCAGGGTGTCTGCAATACGTACCTACGTAAGTTAACAGGTGGCCAGCGAGGAGACAACAAAGCGCCCATGTTCGGGTCCACTGTCGCCCTGTTACACTGTGCATGCTGCTCCGACACCATCACACATACCCTGCATCGGTCTGATCCTACAGCACAGCCTCCCTTGATCGTTTGACAACTACACAGACGGTTCGTCGGTCTGTGACCTTCCGGTCGTATTGTTTACATCCGTCATTTAGATTTGCTTTTACATACCCGTCGTAAAGATATTTCTCCGTCTTACATATACAGGAAAGATACTAAGATACTTATTTCCCCTAAACAGAGAACAATTTTCAATAATTCATGTTTTCTGTGACAGATATTGCTCTTTGCTGGACCTCCATGTCGCACCTGGAAAGGAACCGGAAATAACCACTCAAATGTGACAGGTGTTGTTAACTGATGTGTCGTGGCAAATCAAATACCCTAATGAAAATGCCCGGGTAATTTCTTTGCACAGAACGTTTTGAATGTTTTGTTTTTGAAGCCATGGTTAATTTATGATTGTCCAGTGGCGGATCCAGAGACCTTTCGGGGGGGGTTTCCAAATTTCCTGGGGGGGTTTCCATGTGGGGAAAAATTGAGGAAAATGGTGAAAATATATGATTTTTAAAGAAAATTCTCAGGGTGGGGGGGTTTCCTGAAGCCCAAAAAACCTCTGGATCCGCCACTGTTGTCTATATGATTTATGGCATTAATATTATAATATCTAGAACAAATATGATATTTAAAGTGACCAGTGTCTCTTGGGTCGCAAGTGATTAAAAAGAAGGTCCGTCTGCAACCTTGGTTACAGCAGACTCCGCCCCAACTAAACTCGTGTGAATTTTGAGAGCCTTACTTTCATGGTTAAATAGTGGCAGTGGTTGAGGTTAGGGTGGGGATGAAGTAACACAATGCCCCATGCATTCAGTGTGTTAGTTGGCAGAGTACGTTGTTTTAGACAGTTCTACTTGGCAATATCAAACCTCTCCTTTCTAAATCCAAACACATGTACAGTCAGGTTCTTTTTGCAACCCTCTCCCATATAAAAGGGACGACATCGATGTATTGTAGTGCTAATCAAAGTTACAGAATCTTGATTCAAGCACCCGTGGAACCATCAACCGAAAGTAACCAATCCACCGACTTATAAGTATGTGCATTACCCAGTACAGCTGCTGATAATCTGAGAAAGAAGAAGCAGAGTCTTTCCAAGGTCAAGAGTCAAGAAGCTTTATTTAACGTCGCATATGCATGTAACATTATAACATTAGCTCTGTAGTGCTATTCTTGCTACAAAACATATATATAATTTAACAAGGATCACAGTACTTATAAATATATATATATATATAAACAAGACAACAATTCAAATTAGATATATGCTAAAAATATACAGTAGAGCATATGAAATCACAGTTTTTGCAAAATAATTTAATAGTGAACACTTGAATGTCACACAAGTGTTACAAAACACAAGTTAAGACACTATCAATAGTGTAATGTACATATATGCTAATGTAGCAAAGTGTAAAATATTACAGGATATACACTAATATAGTGTGAATTAAAGAGAGACAATGAAGTAGAGCTATACTTATGATATTGTAAAACATTAATACATTTTTTTTGAATTTATTTCTTATACTTTATGTTATAAGTTCTAAATTTGATGCTGGCAACGAATTCACAGCGGAATGCCCCGAAGTAGACAATATCTAGACACAACTTATTTCATGTCTACAAGTTACCTCGGACGCCGGGGATCGAACCTGCGCCTTGACGTCAGCACACCTGGGTTCAGGAGCACTAGGCTTTTCGGTCGACGGGGGCTGGTGCTGTCAATATTTAATCTGTAAATGTTTTAGTTTCACCTGCTTAACACGTTTATTACGACAAGGTACGTTAAAGTCCAGTTTAAACAAGTTACCCGCATTCTATAACGTTAATGTTTAATATTTTTCACATAACATAACAGGTTTGCCACAAGAAAAGAGCTGAAATAAGGAGAGAAAAAGTAAAGAAAAAGAAGAAAACGACAGATCTANCCCCAAAAAAAGGAAATGATTTTTAACCCATGCCACAGACAGGGACGTGACGCATATACTCCCAATCATAGTATTATGTCATTCTAACTATATATCAAAATGATGAGCAGTTTGCTTCCTCCCTTAAACAGTTGAAATATTTTGAAGAATAAGTCACATGTCAATTTATCAGGAGTTACAGACAGTTGAATAAGACATCTTGAGGCTATACGATAATACCAGATATTTCAAGAAGTTTTTAAAACTCGGGTGAACGTAAAGTCCTTTTGATATTATTTGAATTAAATGTCGTTAAACATTGAACGGTGGGGTGTTACCAATTTGATGACATATTTCCCCACTTACATATCTACGCATCTACATGTATATGAGGGCACATTTTTAACAAGTTATTTATATCATTAACTTTTTACGAAAGTGAAAACAAGTGGCCTCTACTGGCATGAAGGCCTCATGACGAAAAAGGATAGAATAATGACGAATAAGAAACGCGATTAACAATGAATGGATAGTCACAACAGGATATTGATAGATAGAAATAAATACGCAAATATATTTCAAAGTATGACGTTTGCAGAAGTTCCGTCGAGGACAGATTTCTATTTTGGTTTGAGCTCTTCTTTGACCGCACCCATGGGCTAACAACTTCCTCTACTAATTATATTACCAAGACTAGTTTTCAAAGAAACGACGATGACAGACAGACATACATACATACAGACAGACATACAGACAGAATGACGATGAATGTAGTGCTACAGAATATGCATTGAATCCTTACCAGACACTCAATATCAATACTAGATTCAGAATGTTTTATTGAAACGTTAAGACAGTGGTCAATCAGACATTACAAATCTAACTATCCGTCAATCATTGCATTAGACCGAACAATATAAAAAATAAAAATAAACGTTGATTATGTATAACGAAACGCACGCCAATCCCAATAACATCAAGTCACATTAGGTGAGCTACTTTATAGTGAAATTACGATGGTCAGCTGGTTAACTGACCTTAATGTTTTCGATTGTGTTGTCAAAACCTTTTATCATACC